CTGAAGTTGTGTTCAGCTTCAGTTGGCATGCTAGAATAACAAGACCAGACATGCTGCTGCATTGATCGAGGTGTGAAGACATATTAAAATCAGTCTTCAAGTGGGAGATTGTTAAAAGTTTCAAAGTTTGGCAACCAACTTTGGAAAATGTTTTTTCAAAGTTTGGTAAATGTTTCTTTGAAAAATGTTTTTCAAAGTTTGGTAAAATTTTGGTAGATGTTTGTTGAAAATAGGAATGGGTAAATTCACTTTAGTCATTGCACTTTAGGGTATTTTCAAAGATTAGTCCCTAAGTTTATACTATAAATACCCTTACCCATTTAGCTTCAAAATCATCCCAAAACATTTCTTTCTTCCTATACTAGAGAGCTTTCTTGTGAGTAGTGAGTGTTTTGTAAACACCTGTAAATTTTTCTCTCTTAGTAAAAGATCTGCAGCAGCCCGGAGATGTAAGCACAATTGGCTGAACTCCGTTATCAATTTTCGGGTATTATTTTTCCGCTTTTATTTCGCATTCTCACTAATCTGGTTATAGGGAAATTACTTGTACTCGGTTTATTTTCCTAACAACTTGTTGGATCATAAACTTGATCCATTATGGGAGCCTAAACCCAAACCCAAACTAAATTGATGTCATTACTTACATCATTTAATTAAAGATGTCATTGCTTACATCATTTAATTAATGATGTCATTGCTTACATCAATTTAGTTAGGTGAGAGTTAGATATTTGTTGAATTTGTAATGGTTTAAATTAGTTTATTTGTGTGGTGTAGGATTGTTCTTGAGTAGTATAAATACCCCTTCCCATTTTAGTTTTAAGCATCAAGAACATTCTATTCTTTGACATCGGCACTTTAGCAATGAAGTTATTCTTATCATCTTTCATGTGGCTTTAATATAAAACATTTGAGTACTCATGTTCATGTTGTTGCAAACAGGGACGGAGCCAAGATTCCAACTCAAGGGGGCAAATTATAATTAAGTATAAAAAATGAAGGGGGTAAAATATAATTAACCATAGAGAATGAGGGAGACAAAATAAAAAATAAACTAAAATTAGGACCTCTAATTTAAAATTTACCTATATATTCGTCCCTGGTTGCAAAGTAGTTCATAAGGAAAACGAACTTAAAGAGTTATGGTGTTTTGTATCTTTTAGTGTGCATGCTTGAGAATGTCTGATTTCTTTACTGTTTATTTTCGTAGTAGGATCAGCTAAATGTTACATTGGTAAGTTAAAACCTTTACAAGTTTTGGGATATGTATATAGCTCTATGGCATGACCTTATGTTACAAATTATGATTTAACCTAGTTTCTGTTGAAATATGATATTTCCCTTGTTTATACAGGGGGTTGATGTGTATACACCGGATGAACATAGTTCATCGTGATCTGAAAAGTGCAAATTGCCTTGTGAATAAGCACTGGACTGTGAAAATATGTGATTTTGGACTGTCCCGAATAATGAGCAACCGTCCGATGAAAGATTCCACCTCTTCAGGAACGCCTGAATGGATGGCTCCTGAGCTAATTCGCAATGAAACTTACACTGAAAAATGTGATATTTTTGGCCTTGGGGTCATAATGTGGGAGCTTTGTACTTTAAGTAGGCCGTGGGAAGGTGTGCCACCAGAAAGGGTATGCAGTATGTTGTTTACTTGGTCATTCTCAGATCATTCGTTTATCTTTTTCTACATTGGTTCAGGTAGTTTATGCTGTCGCAAATGAAGGGTCACGGTTGGAGATTCCTGAAGGTCCCCTAGGCAGGCTAATTTCAGGTAGTTTTCATTACATTTTTTGGGGTCATCTGTTTAAGCAATTTTGGTACTTAATTCAGGGCAAAAATAAGCGTAAAGTAAACTAATGGTCTTTCGATTATAGGGTGTTGTTTTGTTGAGTCTATTGACTATTAAAAGTTATAAAACGACCCCTTGACCATAAGACATTGTTTTATTGAGTCCTCTGACTATTAAAAGTTATAAAATGGCTATTTGACTATTCATATGATCTAATCTCGTTTTTTCGTTAAAAAATTGGCAACCGTCTAAATTGGACGTTAACCTGTCAATTGGGATATGATAAAATCTGATTCTATAATCGTTTGAGTTGTATTTTGTGGGACTCTAAGTTTATATTATGTCATTGAGTCTGTGCTTGAAATAGTATGTTATGGAGTTGGTTCTTGAAAACAACGACGGTGTTAATAGATATTATTAAAATATGATTTTATCATATCTTAGTCAACAGGTTAACAATTAGCTCATACGATCGTTAACTCTTTAACGGAAAAAAACGAGTTTAGAATATATGAATAGACATGTGACTAATTTATAATTTTTAATAGTCAGGAGACTCAATAAAATAATGTTATATAATTAGAAAATCATTTTGTAATTTTTAATAGTCAGAAAACTCAACAAAATAATATTATATAATTAGAATATCATTTTGTAACTTTTAATAGTCGGGAAATTCAACAAAGCAACACTCTAATCGGGGGACTATTTATATACTTTACCCTAAAAATAAATTGACCACATTTGGGGGTAAAGCTAATTTGATATCGGTGGAGCACAGATTGTTGTGCAGAAGCGGAAGAGCGGCCAAGTTGCGGGGAAATACTAACGCGGTTGCTGGATTGCGAGTACTCTCTATGCTGATTCTGTTTGTAGGAAAACCTGGTAAGGTATTAACAGTGTTGTCGGATTTTCAGGTTGTATAATACTTTATAATTTTCCCAATCATTTTAATAACAACATTTTCTTGAGATTTTATGTTGGAAAAATGTCTTTTCCTTTTCATTTTTATAGGTTGGGATGTGGCCCATGACCCAAAAAAAATTGATGAAATGTTTTCTTCTGATCTCGATATCCCATTTCCGGAAGAAATTATGAAATGCAAAGCACCATGAACCTCTGCATATTTTCTCCTAGAGGATTTAAAGTCTTGCATGCCCCAACTGGTGAAAATAATCTTGCATTCACCATTTTTTTATTGTGTAAAGTACAAAAATGATATTCGATTATAGGGTATTCTTTTGTTAATTCCCCCAACTATTAATAATAATAAAATGATCTTTTTGATTATAGTCATTGTTTTGTTGAATCATTTGACAATTAAAAATTACAAAATGGTCACTCAATTATTTATATGTTTCAATTTGTTCTTTTCCGTTACAAAATTGACGGTTGTTTGAGTTTCACGATAACCTACTGATTGAGATATGTAGTCATTTGAGATTTTGTGATCAGATTTTATCATATCGTAGTCAGTAAGTTAATGTCCAATTCAAATGATCGTATTTTTTAACAAACAAAAAAAAAGACAAGTTTAGAACATATGAATAGTCGAGTGATCATTTTGTAATTTTTAATAGTTGAGGGACTCAACAAAGCAACGCCTTATAGTTGGAGGACTATTTTATAACTTTTAATAGTTGAATGATTCAACAAAGCAACATCATATAGTTGATGGATCATTTATTTACTTTTCCCTTTTTCTATTAAAAACACAATGTCTCTTATGAAAAGTTAAAATGATAATTCCTTACAGTATTACTATTATTGAATACAGAGAAAACACACTATAATCAGTTGACCAATTATATTATTATTGAATGGGCGCTTAAGTATTACTATTATTGGAGGGTTAATTTTTTTAACTAAATAAAATCAAATTATTTGATGTATAAATATTAAGGGTTAAATATATAATTATACCAATATTTTTAACAACCATGTCATCTTCTTTGTTAAATGTTAGTGACTACTTGATTGAAACACTTGAATAATTACGAGGTTTGATTAACAAAATTGAAAGATCGGTAGTCAAAATAAAAATAGGCAATAAGTTAAGTGGTCATAGATATAATTTACCCATAAATATATAGGTGTAATAGTATTGAGGGCCACAAACTTTTCTAAAAAAGCTAATCTAACCCTCGGTTTTTTTATACTCAATGTGACCCTCAAACTTAGAAGAAAAAGAAATCAATGTGACTCTTTGACAATCGATTTTTGTCGTTAACCGTTATGACGTTGAAGTATCATTTCATGATACAGATGTGATGATCTATGATGGCTAGTGATGTGGCAAATAGACTAAATTGATATTTTTTGTCGAGTTCGAGGGTCAAATTGTATTTTAAGTTTATTGGCCTATTTTTTAATAAAAAATTGTTTTAAAACTAAAATATAAAAATATTCAAAATATAAAATATAAAAATACTAAAAATAAAAATTATATTTCTAAAATTTAAAAATATATATTAATGAGAGTAACTAAAAATTTTATTGTTTAAGGATTCATTGAATTTAGAGGTGAATTATAATATGAATTTTATTTTATTTAGTAGTATAATTATATTGTTATGTTTGTACATATCAATTCTAATGTGAGTTACTTTGTGAAGACAAATTTGACATTCCTTGAAAATTTTTAAAAAATAAATAAATATTGGGGGTGGAAAAACTTTCAAACACATTAAGTCCATATCCACCTTGAGTCCTTGACTTATAGAATTATAGAAATTGACAGTGTTGGTCGATCTTTCTATTAATTTTTTTATAAATTTAGGTGACATTTACTTCTCTCCGTCATGTATATTCACTAAAATGCTCATCTTAATTATACAATTATTTTTATTTTTTAATTATAGTATATTTTATAATTAAATTTTAATTTCATAACTTTTAAATTTTATTTTATAAGAATTTATAATATTATTTAATTATATTTATAAATATTGAGTGAAATAGAATTTGAAAGAGATTTGGAGTTCAAGATAATTAGAGGTAAATATATAAGGGTAAATTATACAATGATCAGTAATGTTTAAGTTTTCGTTTTTCTTATTGAAGTTTCAAAAGTAATAAATCGATCACTAATATTATCGATTTGTTACAAATTGGTCATTCGACTTTAACGACCGTTAACGACATGACAGAAAGTATAATTGGAGCGTTAACTGCTAACTTAGATCACTACGGTGAAAAGTCAAATGTCTTTAACGATCACCTCTTTACATTTAAATAAAACCCAATCCCTAAAACCAACCAAGGTAAAGATGGAAGAGAAAGGTAAACAACTCCAACCGGGTACAAAGACAAGCATGTTTTCCTTGATAGAAACAATCCATGAATTGAAACCCATATTACTATAGCTCTACTTATTCTGTAAAGATAGAATTTGAAGGCTCTGAGCTTACCTGGCTAGCAATCGAGTCAAGTTCATCGAAGAAGAGGACACAAGGTGTAGACTGTCGTGCCTTGTCAAAAATTTCACGGACATTAGCCTCACTCTCTCCAAACCACATTGTAAGTAACTCTGGACCTTTGACACTAGTAAAGTTTGCCTGGCATTCACTGGCAATGGCAATAACTTTGGCCAAAAGTGTTTTGCCACATCCTGGAGGGCCATATAATAGTACTTCCTTTGAGGGTGACATCCCAAACTTCTAAAACATCTCAGGATGCTTCACTAGATATTGAACAGTCTGCACATCAACGTAACTAGTTGGTGAAGGTTTTTTTATGAGAAACAAATAAGAAATGAAAATCAGTTTGGAGTATTGCCTCTTAATGCTCCCTTTTAACATTCTCAAGGCCTCCAATATCTTTCCAAGCATTAGACACTTCAAAAACTTGAGAAAAATTTAAGAATGGTAAGAAACACAAATAACTCTGAGGCATCATGAGAGAATCCATTCAAACAAAAAAATATTTTTTTGGGTCATTTTCCTTCCATAATTCCGGTAATCAAAGAACATCCTTCCACAATTTTCATTCATCCAAGCAGTGTCCACTTTAGCTGGATGTTCACAGTTGCAAAGTGGAACACATGAAGTCTTCCATCTTCACCTTAGATGAGTTTTTTCTTAGAAATTTTCTGAGAAATTTCAAACAAAAGAGATCAAGAAGAAAAATAAGGTAAATTAGGTTTATGGGGATTGGCTTTTTATGTTAAGGTGAAAAGGTGACCGTTGAAGACATTTGACTCTCCACTGTGAGGGTCCAGGTAAGTAGTTAACACTCCAACCGTCATATGATCAATTTATAACAAATCGATAATATTAGTAATCGATTCATTATTTTTGAAACTTTAGTAAAAAAATGAAAACTTACATGAACATTAATTATCATTTATATAGCTTACTCATATATCAAATAAAATTTATGAAGGATGGGCATGTCATATTTAAATGTCACCTCTAGAACGGATGATCGGTGTTTTGGGATAGGGGTATCACCTTCATGACTATAGTAATAATCAGTTTCTCAACCTTGACCTCACATAGATGGAATCATCCGCTCCTCTTTATCAAGTATTGAAGGATCACTAGCAATTCCCTGGTTATCCGAACCAGCAAGTAGACATGCACAGAAGACGGATTTCAATCCGATCCGGATCGGTTTTTATTCGATCCGATTTTTTCCCATATACAACAAACCGGTTTATACAATAACCGGTTCGGATTCTAACCGGTTTGGAGGGCCGGATATCCTAACCGGTATAACCGGTTTCGGTTTTAAAAAAACCGGTTTTTTAAAAAAAACCGGTTATAAAAAACCGATTATAATATTATTAAAATTACATCGTCATCAATTGCAACAAAGTTTACGATAATTGAAATACTTAAATACTTCCAAGTTCGATAAATTCAAATACTTAAAAACTTCCAAGTTCGATAAATTCAAATACTTAAAAACTTTCAAGTTCGATAATTGAAACAAAGTTTACGATAATTGAAATAAAGTTTAAAAATAAACTACATTGTCATCTCTTCTTCATCATCTTCGCCTTCTTCGTTTGGAGGGGATATTCCAAGTTCGACTTCTTCAATGTGTAAGTTTGCTTCCAAATCGGCATCAATTGCATCTTCTAGGGTGGTGATATGTTGCTTCCCAGGCGCTCCATCCAAATAATCCTTCAAACAAATGCATATTTCCACCGACTCGGGACTTAGTCTTGATCTCCGTTGCAATATAACCCTGCCACTAACAAAAAAAGCGGATTCCGAAGCTACCGTAGAAGCTTGGACGGTTAGTAAATCACGGGACATGGCGGCTAGAATCGGAAATTGTGCTTCCTTTTCTTTCCACCAAGCCAAAATATACAAACTTTCAAACTCTTCAAATGTCATTTTTGATAGAAAATCGCATGACATGTAATTTCTCAACTCGCTACTTGGGGTGGTAGTACGTGATCGTTTGGATTGGGAATTTACAAGAGTGTTAAAAAGATTCAAATTTATGTTACTTGGACGTCTACTAGATGATTCCGCATTCGTTCTCATTTGATCGTGTATTACACTACTTGATCCGTATTTAGTTAAATAAATTGCAAACATGTCTCGAAAACATTTGTTAAAATAATTTATTTGGTTTTGGACAAAGTTGGGCTCATCATCGGTTAGATTAAAAGCAAACACAATTTGTTCAATTAGTGTTTCAACCCCGCCAACATTTAACGTTGGGTTTAAAGCGACGGCACAAATAAAAATGGGGGGATCTCCTTAAAATATTTTTAAAAGTTTTTCCTTCATTGCAAAGCCAATTTCTTGAAAAACTTCGATTTCAAATTCAAAGTCATTTAGTCGGGTAGCCAACAAAAATATTTGATTAAGAACCAACGGGCTAGTAGGGTAATAAACACCGGATAAAAAAGTTGTTGCATTTTTAAAAACCCCAAGCAAATCGGTTATTTTGGCTATAGTTTCCCAACTCGAATCCGGATAAATGTTTGGGACATGACCCCTCTCGAAAAGCCGATCGTGAAATGTTTGCAATGTTTCTCTTTGCCTTAAGGCGGTATGCATCATCATCCAAGTTGAGTTCCAACGAGTTTGACAATCCAAATTAGGACCCAAAGCTTATTAACCGACTTACAAAATCGTTTATAATCATTTAGTCTTTTGTTGTTGTTACAAAGAACCGATTTTATCATTGTTTTAAATTCTAATCTAATCGGCTCAATAACCTCTAAACCGGCTTGCACGGATAAATTAATTATGTGTGCAACGCAACGGGTATGAAAAAACGCACCGTCTAAAATCAGTGAAAGTAATATTTTCAATCTTGGAACCGCATTTGTATTATTCGATGCATTATAAAACGATATAGAAAAAACTTTATTTTCTAATTTATAAAGACAAATTACCCTTTTTAAAAGTGTAAATAAATTAGCACCGATATGCGGCTCACCGAATAATTCAAACGCGATTGTTCTTTTCATCATTTGCCAATTATCTTGATTTAACCAATGTGTCGTAACGACTAAAAAAGAATTTCCGGTATTATGAGGGGAACTCCAAACGTCACATGTAAACGACACACCATAACGGTATTCTTGGAATCCTAAAATCATTTTTTCCCTCGCCGTACGCCACATTTTTATAGCATCTCTTCTAAGGGTAGTACGACTTACTTGAGTATAACGTGGTTGCATTAGTTGTTGAATTGTTGCCGTGAAATCTTCATCATCAAAGTGGTCGAATGGCAATGCTTTTGTAATCACGAACTTTGTAAACGCTTCTCGTAATTTTTCGTTGTCGTAAACAAAAAACACCACCTTGTGGTGTAAGATTCGATTGACTTGGATCCGATATTGAGCGAAGTGCCTTGCATGATTTTGTCAAATGGTTCTTCAACATTGTGTTTCCTTCCGGTGCAAGCAACTTTAGACAAAGTTTACAACGCGCCCTCCTCGAGCCATTTGACATCTCACATAAATCGTAGTGATCCCAAATATCTTTGTTTCGAGTGTGTTCGATCACTCTCACGACTTCAAGGTTTCTCCCGACGGAAGATTCAGCCGTGTTACTCGTGATGAACAAAAAATTACAAAAATAAGATTTGAGAGATGTTTAGGTGTTGTGTAATAAGATTTGAGAAAGTTGTAATCAACCAAATACATCCCAAACCTATTTATACATGTTTAGGGTGGTAAAATGGTAATTTTTTAAGAAAAAAACGGTCACAAAACCCCTCCCAACGGCTATATTAACGGCTAGTTTTTTAAACCCAGACCGGTTTTTTCGGATAAAAACCGGTTTTTTAACCTGTTTTTTTTCAAACCGGTTTTTTATCCGGTAAAAAAACCGGTATAGGTTTTTTTTCCAAACCGGTTAAAATAACCGGTTAAAAAAAATCCGATCCGGTTAAAAAAAACCGGTTTTCTTCAAATCCGATTTCAGATATTTTTTTGCACAAAATCGGATATTCGAATTTTTTGTGCACCTCTACCCGCAAGTGATTCTATATTAGCTCCATCCTTGGTTTCATCTTTATCATCCTTTCTCCTTTTTGAGCTTTTCCCATTTCCTTCATTAGTTGAGGAAAGGGAGCTTAAAGGCGATTGTTGGGGGCATTAAAATGCTGTTCTTTTAGCTTTATGAAAATCTTCATAGAAAAAAAAAGGAAGGCGAAATAGAGAAAGAGTTACAAGATGGTTCAACTTGTCACATCAACCTTCAATTATTGACATAACGGCCGTAAAAGATCAAGTGACCAAATTATTATAAAACGATACCACTAATAATTATTTCATTACTTATAAAACATCAGTGCTGAAAAAAGAAACTTATTTCAATACCATTCATGTGGTTTACCCTTTTTTATGATGATACTTGGGTAAAACAGCCCTAAAGTAAGGTTGCCCTTTGCGAAACAAGGGCTTCACACTAGTTAATTATTATTGGTAATCATTTCACGTGAACCATACTTGCTACTTAAAATTACAATGCTTGTTTCTTTCCATTACATAACATCAAATCAAAGAATCTGCCCACCAGCAGAAAAGCATAAACACAGAAAAACCAAGTCCCCTCGGAAACTAGGATGAGTTGAGTTGATAGGCACTTGTTAAATTAGCAATGTACACGTGCTTTCAATTTAACCTAATCCTATTCCTACCCACATCTTAAGATACAGTTATACAGATTAGCCCACAAATTGTGCTGCTGAAGCCTCCCCACTCTTCCATTCTGCAGTGGAGGGGGGCCTTCTAGTCCATTTATCCACTATACACCCAAATGCTACATCACACTCATAAAAATCTGCAAAACTTCAGCATCAAAATTGATCAGCAACTACTTTAGATTACTGCACCACCAACTTTTTTTTATAAAAAAAAAAAGTAAATATTGTCAACCATAACATCAAAAATGGCTGTAGCACAACTAAATCACACGATAATCATACATGTTTTAGTTATATGGACGATATGTTTGTTGCATATTTTTATCTTAAACCAGCTTTCCTACTCGGTTTACAATAATAATTATAACAAACATTATTATTCCAGTGTTATAGATTTAAGCTCCCGGTGTTTCTTAACAGTCAGCTTTCTATTTGATAACAAGCACTGGCCCAAATATTAGTTTACCAACTAGGAAAATTTTTAGCTCCATTATACAGATGCAACAGAAAATTAACACAAAAATATGTT